TTAAAGCATCTGTGTACAAAATCTACACCTATATTTTAGTTGGTATTCCCAGTTAGGGTTAGGAAAATGGGCAGAAGAATGACACTAGAGTCTTTTCAGACTGCAAAATTGTCTGTGTGTTAAATATTAATTAACCTTCGACCACAGCAAGGTCACAAAATTGTTACCATGTCAAGTACACGTCTAGCTACGGATTTTTTCCCCTCAGAAGATATTTGCTACTCAGGTCTCTTTGAGAGTAAGAGAGGAATTGTAAATAAATCTTATTCTTTCTTTAACATGGCTAACTGATTTCCTTTCTTCAACTTTGGCAAATACGCTCAGGGTTGTTCAGGTGAACTATTATATTGTTACAGCTTCTGAGCTTTCATGCATCAGTTATCCATGGGGGAAATGAGCATACTTTGATCACCACGAAGTTTTGCTATTAATGAGAGTCTGAGTATTAAAAATATCTACTAGTATATTGTAGTTTCTAAGAGCCTGTGCTTCAGAATCATACAAACCTGTGTCTGTGTCCTTTTCTGCTAAAGGTACCCTTTATGGACTCAGAAAAGTGAGTCTCTGTAAGCCTCCATTTCCTCTGTTGTAACATGGGAGAAAATAGCTTCTGCTTCATGGGTTTGCTTGAGGATTAAATGAGATCATCCATGTAATGCACTAGCACAGTGTCTGGCCATAGTAAGGGTAGTATAAATGTATAAATGTTACCTATTATTTCTAGAATCATTTATGATTTTTATACAGCTAAGATGAAGTAAGAGGTTTGAAGTGCTAATAAAATTTGAGTCTCCCTCGGGACTGTCCTTGCTCTGGCCATCATGTACACTGCAGATGCTGGTTCTTCGGAATTGTTTTGACCTTGGATATGATCTGTATTAGAATTGTGAAAATTAAATATATGTTGCATGTTAAATTCCTGGGACAATGCCACCTACATTAATACTTAATAAATGCCAGCACGCTGGTTCCTTTAGTCTCCCTTTTCCTTCAGAGATAATTTCATTCAAGCAAAATAGAGGTAAGATCAAATTGTATTCATTTTCCCGTTCTAAAATTCACTTGCTTCCCTGGAATTATTTAATTATGGCCCATGATGTTCATATTCCTCAAAAATACTAATTAACATACTAATATTATAGAAGCCTAAGGATTGATGCTAATAAAGGCTAAACCAATTGCAAAATGTGTGTATAGCTTGGTATCATTGATTATACCAAATGAGTGCTCACTTGAATATATTGTTATATCTTTTTTAGCACATTCAGACAGCAATGTTTCTTTTAAAATTTTTTTAATAAATTAAAAAAAGCAGGAACAAAAACAATTTTTTTAGTTATTAGCAAAATAATATACTGTTTCTGCTAAAAGATCTTTCTGTAGAAGACTATTTGTCATATTGATAAATAATTGAATTTCTAATTTATATCAGAAATTCTGCCTTAGTCCTTTTTATTGCTTGATAACTGAGGTGCTCTCATTTGCTGTTTCAGGAAAGGAGTGCTCCCAGGATGAAAGCACAGCAGCTGCCATCTTCACTGTGCAGATGGATGACTATTTGGGTGGCAAGCCAGTGCAAAGTAGAGAACTTCAAGGCTATGAATCTACTGATTTTGTTGGCTATTTCAAAGGAGGTCTGAAATATAAGGTAAGCAGCTCTCTCAAACAGTTTCCATTGTGAACCCCTTTCTCCTCCTGTTCATCCGTATCACGTCTTCATAAAATTAAAGTTCATTGAGGGCAGGGGTTTTTTTTTTTGTCTTGCTTTGTCTTTATTTAAATCTGTTTTGTTCACTGCTATATCTCCAGTACCTGCCAGACACATGGGTGTTCAATAAATGTGGAATATATGGTGCAATAAGTGAAATCTACCAACTTGACTTAATTTGATAGGATAATATTTTTAAGAAAATTAAGAGCTTTCAGTTACATCTTCACAAGAAAGCCCTGTAATATTTTTTAGAGTTATTTGAATAATTAAATATTGGTAATTTGAGTCTTAACAGTTTTCATTTTTGCCATTCTAGAGAATCTCTGAATTTGCTGAAAGTAGCTCAAGCCTTTGGAATGGCAATTGTTCTGTAATATCTTAATACAGTATTTATAACAATTATAATTTCAGTTCCTACAAAGAACTATGCATGCATTTCCCAAATAGTGTGTGGCTGGATCTTAGAAATGATGCAACTGGAACCACTGAGCAGAAAATATGTGTGGTTCAGCCACACAAACTCAAATACTCATGTAAGCACACACACACATATTCGCACACAATTTATTGGTCTGAAACACCAATGTATTGGAAAATAAACAGACAAAAATAAATAGTTAAATAGTTCTGTCTCTTTAAGGCAAGCTTCAGTAAAGGATAACTTTTTTCTGGCATTCTGTCAGTGACCTTTGTAGACTGGCCCTCCTTCACCACTCCCGCCCCCCACCCCACCATATGTGATCAGTTAGAGTGTGAGGAACACCCTCCTCAGGCAAACATTCCAGAAACAATCCTTTCCAAAATCAAACATACTCCAGCAGGTGTTCTGCACACCCTACTGCCCCGCCCTTTGATCATGTCACCCTAGTGTGGACCTGAAACTCAGAGCTAAACTATAATTCTGACCATAATACTAAATTTGCCTATTAAGATGCCAGGGTTTATTTCTACCTTTACCTGTTCAGAGCCTCAGTTGAATATTTTGTGATACCATTGAGATTAGGACAAAACACGTCTATCTTCTCTTATCTCTCTTGAAATTGTTATTTCACTCTAGGCTATTAAGCACCCTAAACATAAAACTATTACCTCTCATTATATTTAATTGACATGAGTTCCTACAGTTTATATCAAATGATACTGAAACTTCCTATATGTCAATAAACCTAACGTTTTAAATGGGCTGGATCTTGAAGTTATCAAAAGCAGGTGCTGTGACATCACCCCAGTTTTGAACCCATTTCTGTCACATATGACTTCTTTGCTTTAAGGCAAATACTTGAGCTTTCTGTGCTTAATTTCTTCAAACGTGCAATGGGTATTATAACAGCTTTCTCATACAGGTGTTGTAAAGATTAAGGATTAAATTAAGTAATAAAATACCTATAGAGCAGCCATCCCCAACCTTTTTAGTACCAGGGACTGGTTTCATGGAAGACAATTTTTCCACAGAGTGAGTGTGGGTGGATGGTTTTGGGATAATTCAAGCACATTACATACATTGTGCATTTTATTTCTATTGTTATTACATTGTAATATATAATGGCATAATTATACAACTCACCATTTTGCAGAATCAGTGGGAGCCCTGAGCTTGTTTTCCTGCAACTGGACAATCCCATGTGGGGGTGATGGGAGACAGTGACTGATTTGACAGAAGGCAGAGCTCAGGTGGTGATGTAAGCGATGGGTAACAGCTGTAAATACGGATGAAGGTTCACTCACTCACCTCTTGCTGTGCGACCTGGTTTCTAACAGGCCACAGACTGGTACTGGTCCGCAGCCCCGAGGTTGGGGACTGCAGCTACAGAGTACATAATCAATCAGTAGAGACTTGTGTTATTAATCCTGCTGGCTATTAACAGGACTTTTGAAATAAAATTTCTAGATACATGTTTGAAAGTGGACATGATAAAAGTAATTTTACAGTTATGGGATAATTATCTTCTAATTACCAACAGTAAAACCACCACAAATTAATGTGTTTTAGAAAGATGATGTTTGCAAATGGAGGTCAAATTTATCAGCAAGAAAATTAGTCCACTATCTTATCATCAGTGACATTGAGCAGATGGCAATATGTGCGCTTGCAACAATACTCGATAAGAAATGTGGAAGCAGAGATAATTTAACACCCAGAAGAGCAAATATGATTATATTATGCTTGATTTCATCCCATTAGTAGTTTGAAGCTTATAGGAATATGCTAATCACTTCACACATATTATCTCATTTAATGCAAGCAACCTGTGTTGCAGTTTCTATAATTACCATTCTATTAAGATGAATAAAGCACACCTTTGAGAGGCTATGTAATTGTCCTGCTCTCACAGCTGTTATGTGAGTGGGTGACCATCTGACTTCAGTGTCTAAGCTGCTAATCATTATACTCGGATACTCTGAACATATATAAATGGGTCAAATACTGGGGCAAATTTTTAAGAATACTCTATAAAACAAGGTATTGTGTCTATTTGGAGTGGACAAAATTTGACAAAGCCTACCATTACCAAGTCTGAAAAAATCACATGTAGTTGCCATATGTAATGTAAAGATTTGGTTAGCAAACATTAAGACCATCTTCTTATCTCATTCAATTGACTTGTGTTATTTTTCTCTAAGGTCTTTTAGGGCCTGAGAAGGGGGTATAAAGGACTATTACTTACCATTGCTCCCTTACATTAAATCTCTGGCCGACATACCTCTCCCAAGCTGAACAAGACCCTGCCCTCAGCCATGATTGTAGATAGTGACCATCAGACATCTGTCAGCCGGCAAACCTATATTTATGATACCATTAGTTCAGAAGATCATCCACTTTGCTTTTATTCTGTCTTGTGAAAGTAGAAAGAGGCTGGGGGCTTTTAGGGTTAATGCAAACAATATTCATAGAAGAATTACTTACAGACATGTGCAACATATAGTTTTTATTTTGTGCATTTGTGGCATCAAATATTAGAGACAAATTATTTTTAAAAAGTTATGTTAAATTTTCAGACTATATATCTCTCTATAGGTTCACCATATGAAATTAGCCTGAATATTATGTATGTATCTTCAGTCTAAATCTACTCCATATTTTATAACATTTTTAGATCAAGTGTTCTTATTTTTTTTTTATCAGATCACACTGTACTTCTACTTATTGTTAAAAATTTTAAAATGGCCAAGATGGAAACTTATACTGATTTTTGTTTTATAATACTTAATTCATTAAGCCAAGAAATGTGGCAATCTGTGAAATTATGGGTGGGAAATTATATATTTCCTAAAATTTGTGGTTGTAATTGTCCTGAAATCAACATTTGACCTGTAATAACAAAACTTTTCTGTTCATGAGGGCCTTTTCCTGGAGAAGGGAGAAAATTTAAAGCCAATAAAAATTTAAAAAATGAGCTAATGACTACATGTGCAGCCTAACCTCATCTTTTGGATTCACTATATATGTTTATATAATAAATCAGAAAGTTGGCTTATTTTATAGATTAGTTAATACAGCTAATTTTTCTTACCATTATTATAGAGGCCTTTGATCTATCAATGACAGAGTTTTGTTTATACTGTAACTCAGTTGTGCACATTACCTTATAATTAATTGTGGAAATAAAGAAATGGTTCCTAACATTTAATTAGAAAAAAAAGAAAGGATAAAAGATGATTGCAAATAATATAAGAAAATATAATTGATAGAAGTAAAATTCTTACTTCAGCATTTCTTTAACTTAATGTGGTTGTATTTTACTTACTTTGTTTTGTTTTGTTGTGGTTGGGGATGTGCAATCAAGATACTGCATCTCTCCTGACTTAAAGTAAAAATACTCAGACCTAGCATATTTAGTAAACTCTGTTTACCAAAAAATAAAGAAAACGTGATTTTTTTTTGAAACGTGAAAACAAGGACCATACATAGGAGCAGCCTATCCCTGGCCAGCACTCAACTCCCCTTCTCCATTCCCACTGTGGCAGTGGGAATTTTGGGTGCCTTATTCTCTGGCTGCTGTCACTTTCTTGCCCGAAATCTTTGCCTTCTTACTCATTAATGGCTTCAAATCATTAGCGTCCAAAGGGCAAGAGCCATGGCTTCTTCTTTTTGTTTATGCAGCAGTGTTTTATACCCTGAAGGTTCTCAGTAAATATTTTCAATTTTAAATTGAATTGTTAAAACAGAAAAACTAAGGAGACCAAATAAACCAACTTGTTGATATACCAAGGAATTCTCTTTTCATATGTAACTTATCACATGTGATAGGTAACTATTTTATCTTGGCCTGACAAGCACGGTTTTGGCATAAACCCTTTGGTATTATGCTTTGCCTTGTCTGGTTCGAAGCCTCACCAGTTTTCTCTTTGTTTTGTGTTTTGTCTTTTCCCCCTTGAGCAGGCTGGGGGTGTAGCTTCTGGACTAAATCACGTTCTCATCAACGACCTGACCGCCCAGAGGCTGCTGCATGTGAAGGGCAGGAGAGTGGTCAGGGCGACAGAAGTTCCCCTCAGCTGGGACAGTTTCAACAAGGGCGACTGCTTCATCATTGACCTTGGCACCGTAAGTTTCATATGCACACGTAGAGGTCTACAGGATCGTAAATTGTTTTCAGATCAAATCAAATGGACATGTCATTGAAGACAATCACTTTTTCTATTTTCTACATACAGGAAAGAGGTCATGTTTATGTGAGATGCAATCGTATCACATAGCAATTGGCAAATATTTAAATGACACATAAAGTGGGACTTCAAAGTTTTTATTTCTTTGATAGGTTTAGTACAGAGTAGTGATTTAGTTCTTCCTACCATAGAACAGAAATTGAATAATATTTAATATATTTCCCCTTCTCTCTGAACAGAGCTTCCTCTAATTATTTTGTTCTTAATTGTGGGTGGGAAAGCATAGCTTAAGGGGGAAATTGATTCCCCCAGTAATCAAAGTTTCTAGAATTTAAACAGCCACCTGAAGAATTTTGAAGGAATATTTTAACACACACACACACACACACACACACACACACACCATACTTACATTTATCAATTATATTTATGGTTGTTAGGAGAAAAGGCACAAGTACAGATATCAATTATCATCTTAATGGCATGGGCAATAGCATACTATATCTGATCTATGATTTTTTTCCAGGAAAAGAGGCCCTTCTAAAATCAAGTTTACTTATAATCAGTTAATATCATCATGATAAAGAAGTACTATTGCAAGGACTTGTGCTAGATGCTAGTAGGTAGAATTTAAGTTGCATCTTTAAAACTATGTAAGGTTTTGATAGTAGAGATAAAAAGGCATCCCTACTACTAAAAAAAAAAAAAAAAAACTTGCAAAAGCAAACAATTCAGGAAAGCACAAAGCATATAATGATCTACTCTTCTTGTTCCTCATCACACCACATATATCGACATTATAATTATCATTCCTAACATTTCTGGGCCAGGCATTGTACAGAGACATGGCCTGACCTGTACTGCTTCAGTTAGCATGGAGCTTGGATTGTCTATGGAACTTCCTCGAGATTACATAGCCAGGAAATTACGAAGCCAGGGTTAGACTCTTGGTATATCCGATCACCACCTAAGCATTTTGTTTTACTGCATCTACTTGGGTGGTATTTGGGGATAAAGCAGCCAAGAAGCCAAAAGAGTTTATTGCCATGTGCATAGGGGAAGGACACAAAGGATTCTGAAGATAGAGCTACACAAAATTCTGTTTAAGCAATATTAATTTGACAACAGCACAGAGATTAAATGTACAAAAGTTATAAATGGTTTGGAAAATGACCCTGAGGTATAAACTCCTTCAGTTTCTGTAAGTCAGGGTGTATCTATGGTTTTGTTACTGCTAATACATAATCTAGCTCACTTGAATCACACTACCTTGTGTGCACAGTTGAGATCACAATAATATTAATGCCCAAAGTACGATTCTTAGTATCACACTTAGACATCTACACCTCAAATGGCAGGACTATTTTTATGAATCTCACAATAAATTTCATGGAAAAATCCTTTTCAACTTCAAATGCTAATTCATTCTCCTAACAGGCTTAAGTCCTGACCTTCAGATCGAGGCAGAAAACAGATATTATTCCATCCCTTCATTCCCCTGTACCATACATAAAGAAATAAATAAATAGCTTATGCAAACAGATGCTCACAGGTATCATCAAGCCACACAGTTCCGAAAACAATTACAGCATTCAGTCTCTCAAAGCCTAGGGACAATAGTTGTCTGTCTCAACTCTCATGTCCACCACTTACATTTTAAAGCCTCTTATAATGTATAAAGTGTTTTTACATATGAAATGACTTTTTTATTAGAAAAAGGAGACAGTTCTCATTCATGATACTGTAATCTCAAGTTCTCATCTGTCAAGGTAGGTATTTGATTAGATGACCACTAGGGCCCCTAAATAAGAGGAACACCTCCTAATGATGTTGAAAGAATTTCATTTCTAAAAAAGTTTTTTATTTATAATGTAATTGCTACATAAATGCAATAATCTATTTACTTACCATGAATAGCTTCTACTTCAGCTTTCCAACTAACTACTCTGATCTTTGGCAAATCATTAACATCTCTGAGCCTTAAGTTCCTTATTTATTTTTACCTCTTGACTCTGATTTCTGATGTCACTTCTATCCTTAGCTGATTATGATTCAGTCTCATCTGACCCACAATCACATCAAGGAAATGACAGTTATTATCCCAGTGTCAAAGGGGAAACAGAAGCCTTACAAGATGTCATTACATTCATACCGGTTGTTTGGTGACCTGGGATGGGACCCAGGTTTTTCTATTCCTAGTTCACATTCTGTTCACCACACTAAGGTAACTTAGTAGCATACGAGATGGCATGGCCCTGTAATACAATGTCTTGCAACGGTTTCAGAATCTGCTGAATTCAGAATTGATGATGCCTAATCTGCTAAGATTCTACTAAAAGTAGGGGTATTCAATGAACCATTTATTATTTTGTGGAACAAATATTGAGTTTCCACAATGGGCTAGATAGGTGTTGTGGCTAACTTATTATAGTTCTAGTGATATATGCTCTCTTCCCATAGGTAGTGTCAGCCTGTGGGAGTATGACCCACAAATCCAGACTCATATAATAGGGACAGAGTCTCTATTATAAGGTTCAAGGACATTCATCGATTTAACAGTCAATTATCTTCATTTTATATAGTTAATTATCTTTAATAACTCTCAGGTTCTCTTCTGTTCTCATGCCTCATAAAGGAGAGATTTGGAACGATTTTGTTGCAGAGGTACTTGTGTTGAGTTATCTCTTAAATGATGGAAGTTCCCACACTCTAGAGGGATACCTTAGTAGGAATCAAGAACTGGATTCCTACATACACTGAAACAAATGCTCACAAGATCTGTGTTTATGTTACTAACCATTAACCAGTTGGTATGTTGCCAAAAGTTTCTAAATGGTCATAAGGCCTCGTGGTTAGCTTAGTGACTTTATTTTTGGGGTGTGTTGCAGTACACAAAGAAGGACGTGGAACTAAAACTTTATGTACCATAATATTTTAATAGTAGTCATTAAGCTAATTCTTTAAAGACCACTTTTTGCATGAGAGAGCACAAAATAATACCAGTGCAGTTTCTCCAAGTTTGTATTATTACTCAAGTGTGAAAAATGTCAGTTAAACATCTAAAGCTATCACCCAGTTAAAGCCAGCTGACCAATACTAAGGTTATGGATATAACCTAAATCCCATATCTTGATCATGTTTGAGGGAGGTCAGCTTTTTTGATAAACATTTACTATTATTAATATGAAATCCCATATACCTTAGAAACATTTCTTCTTTTATGAAGTTTTAGACTACAGTAAATATTCCCTAGACATGACAGTGTAACCTCCTCAGCCTGAGGCATGAGAGAGTAAAATTATCAGTTTAACCAGTTTGAAAGTGAAGAAAATCATCAATATTTTAGAGTGATTTAGATGCATTGTCTGATATTTAGGGTATATTCAGAAAATAACACAAAACATGGCTAGATCTTAGCAATTTACTGGATTTTTGGAAAAATGCTTTCGAACTATATATTTTAATGTTGGGGAATTTATAAATCATTATTTTCTCACTATTTTTAAAGATAGGAAGTATTTTTAGAAATTAGCTAATAAGTTAACTAATAATAAAATCACGTCTAAAAACATTGCACCAAAGCATCAGTAACTGCAGAATGTGAAAGATAATTAAAAAAAAAAATCTGTATTATTAAGGCTTGGGATCTGGGGTTAACTCTTAGAAATATGTGTCAGAGTCAGCCACTAGTGAAGAATTAGGTTTCACAGGAGTAGGAATTCCCATGGTGAGTTACTAATCCTGATGTTCTGCACATCATTTCCTTATTAACTTGTTTGGTCAGTTATGCAGCTTTGCCCTACTCTCCTCGCTATTTATATATAATCTATCATCCCCTCTCCCACTGTTCAGTCATGCTACTTTGAAAAAGCAGTCTCCACTTCCTCATTTAGCAGTCAGTCTTTAACCCACATTGTCTGACTTTCATTCGCACCGTTCCTTGGAAACTATTCTGCCTACAAGCCTTGGGCATCAATGGCCTCTGCTAAATCCAGTGGACACCCTGGTCATTATCCACTTGATCCTGGTGCTGTAATCCACACTGTGGACCGTTCTCATCTTCTTCACCCTTGCTCCTCTCCTGACTTCCTGGCTTCTTCCTTTTCAGGCCACTGTTTGTCATTCTTCCCTGCGTGGTCTGCTCATCTCTCAAGTATTTTTTTTAAGGATTCTACTTTTAATCATTATCTCTTCTTTATCCATTCTTCTTGAGCAAACTCATCCTCACCCAATGCTTCAACTGTTACCCCCTGGTAAATCTCGTTTTTATAATCTAGCTCAGACCTCTTTCTTGAGGCCCATGTCAATATTTCAGGCAGCCTTCCAGATATTTTGGCTCATGAGTATCATGAGAACCTCAAACTCAACAAGTCTAGAAAATGATTTCTCCTCTTATTGTCCTTATCTTATTAATGGAACCACCACTCACTCAGGTCCTCAAACCCCAAATCCAGAAGTCTTCCTGACAACTTCTCCCTAGTGCTTCAGACTCACTTAATCACCAGCCTGGTCTATTCTATCTCTAGGTATCTCTTGAATCCTTCCTGCCCTCTTCATTGCTGCCAATAATGTCTCAGTAGCTCATATAGGACACATTCATTCCCTCAAGTTGCCATGCTTTTGCTTTTATGGATTAATTCCTTTGCCTAGAATACTCTCATCTTCTGTGGCACCTCTCTCCAGCAAGCATCCAATATTACCCTTAAATATTCAGCTCTGATATTGCCTTCTTCATTATTTGTTTCCTGACCTTGTCTTTTTCTACGTCCTCTGTCCACTGTCCTACCACTGTAGAGTTAGATGCCCCCTTGTCTTAACTTTGCTATTACCATACAGAGACTTGCCTCTCAGTACTTCTCCCATTGCTTGTCTATTTACTTATTAGCCTCACTCGCTCCCTTTGTTCCCTAAGTATAAAGTGCAAAACTTGTAGTCACTCAGCAAATGTTTCGACAAATGTTTATCTATCCAGTAT